AAAGAACATAAAAACATTGTAAATCAATTATTTATATCATAATAATGATGAAAAGATATATTATATAACCCTAATCATTAGTGAATGAATTGAGAAAGAACACCTACTTTGATTCCTGAGATCTTAATTCTATTGTATTTTGTTGCGATTACCACTTGTTAATCGTTCAAGATTTAACTCATTCTTCTTCCTTTTCTTCTTTTCGAACTTTTATAGTGTTCTTAGGGTTGAAAAGAGAGGTAAAGACACTGTAGATTGCAACCTTATATTATTTATAGGTTAAAACAATAGAGAATTCTTGTTTGGGCGCGAGTAGTAGTCTACCCCCTGACATCCAGCTCGATTTTGACCTAGTTAGACATCGATTCACGAAATTTTTGTGAAATACAATTTTGTAGCTCTTGAAGTCTAGTTTAGATCGTAAAAATTGCAGGTCATTCGGACATTAGAAAAAATTTGTTTAGCCAAAATACTAAAGTTATATCAAATTCTTTTCTACCCAAATCCTCTCTAAAATAGGTTTTAACTTTAAAATACTTCTAAACTTCTAATATAACTCATATAATGTCTTTCAAGGTTCTTCGATCTTATGGATTTAATGAAAATCTTATTTTCACTTAAAAATATTTATAAAATTACTTAATTTACCCCGAAAGTTAATACGCTTAAAACTCAAACTTTATAATCAATTTTTCAACAATGATTCTAATTTTCTACCATCATTTTATTCACCTTAGGATAAATATTAATACAATATTATCCTATTTTAATCTTTAATACAGGATCTTACATGATAGGACACTGGATGTCAAAAGAGTCCGAAGATGCTTGTGATGATGAAGATGAAGGAGTAAACGATGAAGATTTTTATGTTTTCTTACTTTTTGAAAATTTTTGTTTGGATTTGAAATCAATTTTTTTGGTGGTTGAATCTGGTTGGTTTTTTTATATTATTGGTTAATACTAAGCCTCTACGTCGTCTTTGGATTGTGTAATTAGCATTATAAGTTGATAGTTTATTGTAGTCCTATTTTTAGGGGAAATTATGTCCTTATTTTTTAAAAGAACAAAAAAAATGTCTTGATTAAATATTAGTGATTTTTTTATTCATCATAGTATTTTCCAGGTTGAACATTTCTTTTACTAACCCTACAAGTTGATTTTTAAATAAATATTTTTGAGCATTGTTGTACATTTTGTAATTAGGTATGTAGTTTCAAACGTAAGAATTTTATGCTTTTTCAATTTAAATTTATGGCATTTTGATTATTGTAATTTGTCTTCAAGAGAATCTTTATATTATTAATACTTTGTTTAGGCATCGACAATAGGCCGGCTCAGCCCAAAATTTTTCAGCCCATAGCCTGTTTGTTAGGAAATTTTAAGGCCCATGGTCCATCCGTGGCCCAGCCTATGGGGCCGAAAACGAGCTACATATGGTTGGGTCGCCCATTGGGCATGAAACGAGTTTTTTATTAAAAAATTATTTTTTATGTAAACAATACAAAAAGGCATCGAAAAATTTATTTTTTATATAAAATTTACAAAAAAACATCAATTACATGAAATTGGATATGAAAAAATAAATTAACAAAAAAAAAATTCATATTAATTGAATTTAACAAATATTCATAAAGAGTTACGATGTTACATTACAAATTGATTGATGTGTGAGATTATTTTACATCACTACAAATTGAGTGCATCACAATTAGGTTTGTACCTACACAATTGTCAATCATTTCAAGTCTCAACCTTATAAAAGTTATGGATCAAATATCAAATAAATAGTACAACTATGAAAATAATCTAATTATCTTCTTTGAATGAACTATTAGGTGTCCAATTTTCTCTTCGTAAGTTCATTTCCATTAATGCTTAAGTTAATTATTGATTTCTTATTTTCTCATGCATCTTTGCATCAGCAAGACTCCATTATTTGAGGCACACTAAAGCTTCAATTGTTGATGGATTCAAATTGCATCATGTGTTGGATAGTATTCGGCCACTTACAGAAAAAAACTACTTTTGACGATACACTAGAAGCTAGAACCGTTAGTAGATCACGGGCCACAATGGAAAGCACAGGATACGAATTTCGGTGTGCTTTCCCCCAGCCCAATAAATCAAAGGATGATTTTATCATTATGCTCAACAAGAGGCTATTCAATATAACGTTTTAATTCATTATGACCATGTGCATGTGTTTATTATTTTCTTTTTTTCATATGGTGCATTGCTCCTAAACCCCAAGAAGAAGTAGATGAGGAGCTTGTGGCATGGTGTGATGTGGTAGTAAAATCTATATTTTCCATATTTTTGTTTGTAATAAATAAATAACTCTTTTAAACAAGTAGTAATTAAGTCTTTGATGGATGCAATTTTTTCATAATCGTTTGGGTAAATAATCTCTAACCACACACTTGGACATTCTGTTTTAAATGTTGTATAATTGCAACTGCAACACCAAAACATAATGGTATATCAAAAAAATATTTATCAAACTTTATTCTCATTAGTTGAATTAGATGTTCAAAATTAGGTTTTTGAATATATTCATTAAATGCTAGACAAATATTAGTTAAGTGATATAAAACATTAGAAGATGTTGGGTAGTTTACACCACAAAAAGTTTTTGTTGCTATATAAAAATTGCTAATAGGTCTCTTATACATTCGGCTTTGGACCAATCATGCTCTGCACAAGGGGACAAGAATGAGAAGTTTGAATTAAATTATCATATAAATTTAAAACATTTTTATAGTCAATAGCTATAGTTAGAAGTTGATGCGTGGAATTCCACCGGTGAGGAGCATCAAGACTAATATTTCGTCTTCTTACTTTCAAACTCTTAAAATATTTTTTATATAGCTCATATCTCGATTGAGAACTATTAATATGACTAATTGTTTAAACTATCTTATACAACCAAATTTAAAATGTATGCACAACAATGAAAACGAAAAAAAAATTTCATTTAGAGGCAAACCAGTAAATCTTGACCTAAAAAATTCATCGATTGCATCATTATTTGAAGAATTATCAAGTGTTATAGAATTTTTTTTATCTTTAATCCCCCACAATTCAGTTTCCTCCATGATAACATTTCCTATATAGTATCCTATATGTGGGGTTTCCAACATTTTGAAACATAATATTCTTTTAATTAAATTCCAATCACTATCAATGTAATGTGCAGTTCAACCAAAAAAAATCCAATTTTACTTCTAGATGTCCAAATATCATAAGTTAAACTAATTCTACCATCATAAGTTTGAAAAAAAATAATTCAATTTTGCTACTTGCAGATTAAAGTTATTCATAATATCACTTTTGACTGTTTTTGAAGAAAACTCTTTATATTGAGTATTAAATCATCTTTGAATCATTCCTGTAAAATCATCATTTTCAAAAAATGTAAAGGGTTGTTTGACTCTAACAACATAATCAACTACTACTTTATGTGCTCGTGCATCAGCACAGGTTATCGCTAATATCTATATAAGTGGGCATCTAGGGCAGCAAGGGGACTTGCCTTAATCACACTTTTATTTCATTTAGTTATTATTATTATTATTTTATAATTAGTCTTGGTACCCAATGCACTTTAGTTTTGTATGGGTTATTACACATAGTTAATCCCAGAACTTTGGGATATTGCCTTAACTACGTTGGCCCCTAGACAAAAGCAACTGCAGAACATGCGCAAGTGGTAGAAATAATGCTATTAATTCAGTTCTAATCACTCAAAATATGACTAGGACGAAAGACTCACGTTGTGTTTAGTGCGTGAAATTAAGACTTGGGAATGGAATATGTATTCCTTAGTAATGTCTGTTCGTATATTTGGTTAGTAGGAATGAAAATCCATTTCTTAGTAATGCCTATTCGTATGTTTGATACTGCAATTCGAGATTTAAAGAAAAAGATTTATGAAGAATTGTGGAAGATTCTCCACTTTTTCACAAGTGAGGCACAAACCTCTAAGTATGTTGGCTCATTATTCCGATCTTACTGACCCCTTTTTGACCATTCTTGAGGCTGAGAAGACTGAATTTGTTAGAGGAATATTAAGAGGTGATTTCTGATCATTTTTATTCAAATGGAAAATTAGTTAATATTATGTAAGAATACGTATAACGAACAAAGTTATTTTTATTTTTCTTTACTTTGTGGAAAATATTCATGTAGGACTACGTATGTCGTTCAAATTTATGCATTTGTGCTTTCTTTTGTGTTATGTCTTTTATTGATTTTAATTATATTTTTCAGTGAATTTGTTCCTTTTGAGATTATTATTTGTGTACTTTTGAGATTATTATTTATGTACTGATGTTGTATTTAATCTTATTTGTTAAGTGTTGAAATTAATAGGAGTACTCTTTGTAAAGGAGTATGTTAAATTGGCTTAGAAATTCTGTGATTAAAAAAAATATTTTTGTCAAATTTCATTCTGTTCCAATAAAAATTATTTTATCCAAACATTGGAATGGAATGGAATGCCTATTCCATTTCAATATTTAATCCCAAAGTAATTGCCAAACATTCGAATGATAATAAATATTCAATTTCGTTCTCAAGATCATTGCATTCTCGTGTCTATTCCATTCTCACTTAAAGTCATTATTGCACATTGAACGCAATGTCAGTGTCATTCAATGATTTATAATGAAAAGGGATATTGATCAATCAAAACACATGCTGGTTTAAATTTCATAAAATCTTTTATAAAGATGATCATGTGGTTGTTTCGGAAACTCAGCTATACTACATAGAGTACATACATGTATAAATTCCAAAGAATATTTGTCATTTTTGTCAAGAATTTATATAATAAAATACATAACAATTTGAATTTTTATCCCCTATGTTCAATCATTTAATATTTGATTAATTTGTAGTTTAACATAATTTTTATTTCAAACATTATCCATATACGATAATATAAATATGTTGAAAAAATTTAATATAATGGGATCGATTTTTTGCACTCTCAAATTTTATGTTCTTTCGTGCCTTCGAGCACGGGTTATGACTAGTGATTCAATAAGAGAACTTGAGGTGTCTGTACGACTCAGTCGCTTCTTTCTGTACCTCCATGCAACCTGAATACGGGTTGCTGCAAGGCCTCGCCAGTACGGAGATTCATACCTGCAATGAAGAACAAATTAAGTTATTACATAGGGAGTCGTATTATGATACCTGGAAGCTGTGGAATGTGTTATTATTGCATAATTTGATAGGGTCTCTGCATAAACAGTGGCACCCTACAAATGCAGGTAGTTGACATATATGTATTCTCATTATGAGCAAGTTCAAACTTCCGATTAAAACTGAATGGATCAATCATGCTTGCATAGATAATCATGAGGCGGTAGAATTACACGAAACTTCCAACTTCAATTTATTTAAATAGAAAAAAGAAGATAAGAAGAGTTTGAGCATGGAGTGGTCTATGGTATTAGCAAGAATACAGATAAAAAATACAGCTTTGAGACTCATTTTCGAGAGCTTCAACATAAGAAAGATTGAATTGCTAAGCGGAAAAATATTCAGCCATGTGAAATGTGGCATGCTTATTACAGAGAGCTCAAAGCAATAAAGAGATGAATATGTGAAGATCTAATTGACAAACATATTGTCTCAACAGAGAGGATGAAAATGAAGTGCAAAAGCACGTGAACCTTTCCAATTAAGTGATTCTGGCAGGCAAAGCTCAAAGTTACACACAAAACTAGAAGGGAAATGACCAGGGCAAGTCATTTTTTGATGCTGTCATACAATATATTCTCGCAGCTGATGAAATAAAACCTTAAGTAATTTCCATCTACAGACAGCTGTTGGAGAAGATTGAATGGATGTAATTTCATCTAAGTTGAGTGGATGTAAATAGATTGAATCAACTGATAGTAGTCCTTAAACATAAAAGATTCTGATGGTCTCAAAGGGAAAGATATAAAAGCCGCCAACATTAACCACCGGAGAACCAACATAGGAAAACCTTGATGACTCACCAAGTTTGTCGAAAGCAAGGAGGTACTCAAGCCTCGCAGAATACCCAAATATGGGCAATGGCCTTAGGAGAACAGCCTGAACTCGGGACCTACTACACTTTCAAGTGTTTTTGAGGTCATCATACCTTCTCCTGGGGTCAAGTTGAGGAACAGGCAACCTATTTGTTATGCTTAAGAGGACAGCTTGAAAGCCATGCCAATTTTCTTAGTTACAGAGGGAAGATGAAAGTCACTTTTGAATTTCAAGATGCTTTGAATATATAGAATAACAGCACACATGACCCAAGAGTTTGGAGAATCCTTCAAAGAATCCAAAGAATCGAATTTAGGGGGAAGAAACAGTGTAATTTGATTCAACTTGCCTGTAATAACTACTTCAATATGGCTTACCAATTAAAACTATTAAGAAATTGAGTAAAAGAAACTACCTTATGGCACCTTGTACACGTGTATTTCTCAAGAATCTTGCAAAAAGGCTGGTGACTTCTTCAATATCTGCAGCTCGGAGTATAAAAGCTTCTACATTTGTTAAGCATCTAACCATCCTGTTGCTCAGCAATCTGTTTCCAGGAATCCTAATTTTAATTCCATCTGCCAGCCAAAAAAAAATAATTTACCATAATGCTGATTAATGTTAGGTTTCCCAAGGATGATCAGAAAACTAAGGGCAATTAAAAGTAATGAACATACACTGCCTAATGATTGATTGAAGGTATACTATGTTAACAGAACTTAGATCCCACAACCAAAGCTAAACTTACAAACAAGCACGTAATGAGCCGAGTTCCGCTGCTATAGTGATGCCAATATGCATGAATTTTATACCAAATCATGGTCCAAAGCATATGACCCACTCTAATAAGCATGATTTCCTCTACTATTGGTACTGTTTTTTTTTTTTGGTGAGAGTTGAATTGCAAGTATCGACTATAGTTTGCGTGTTTTTTAGTTTGTAATGAAAATACAATAAAAATGCAAATAATACTTTCTCTCAAGTCAATAAACTAGATTACAAGAATATATATAGCCCAAGAAAATTAGAAATACCCTAGACTACCCAAAAGACATATATACCCCTATTATAAAGACATATACACTCTCACCCCTCCCCCCTTCCTTTTAAATTCATGATGCAAGTCCGGAAAGCATCGAGAGTTTGTCAAATAAAAGTCAAAAAGGAGCTGAAGTGTAAGATTTCGTGAAAAAATCTGCAAGCAGTAGCGAATAAGATACAAACGACAAAGTAATAGTGTCCAACTGAAGATGTTGACAAACAAAATGACAATCAATTTCAATATGGTTCGTGCACTCATGAAATACTGAATTATGAGCAATCTAGATAACACTTTTATTGTCACAGTAATGAGGAGTAGGAAAGGAGAGAATAACACCCATATCAACTAAAAGCCAATGAAGAAATCTATCTCCGCAGTGGTGTGTGACATAGCACGATACTCAGTCTCAACCGTAGAACGAGAAATAAATAATGGCTTCTTACTTTTCTAAAAGATAAAAGAATTACCAAGAAAAACACAAAAAACCAATGATTGACTTGCGGTCTGTAATATCTCTAGCCTAATCAGCATCAGCATGCATAGGCATGTAAAGTCTAAGAGGAGGCCGATGACAATAATAAACTCTGAAATATGGTGTCGTGTGCATAACGTAAAATACAAAGTAAGACAGCCTAATTAATAGAACGAGGAGCAGAGACAAATTAACTAACAATATGAACTACATATGCAATATCTGGACGTGTAACAGTAAGATAAATCAAACAGCTAACTAGGTCACGATACAATGTAGGATCATCAAACTTAAAAATTTGGCATTTAACTAGAGTAGCAATGACTTTATCATCTGTTAAGTGGGTGCAATGAAAAAACTCATTAGCATATTTAGACTGAGATAAAAGGTAGCGTTTAGTATAAGAAGCAACCTCAATACCCAAGAAATAGCGCAGAGGACCCAAATCTTTTATCTCAAACTCAAATAAAAGATGTCACTTCACTTTGTCAATAACAACAATATCGCGACTAGTGATAATCATATCATCCACATATAATAACAGAATAACCAATCCATGGGTAGAACAACAAACAAATAGAGCAGGATTATGAGCACTAGAAATAAAACCAATCTGAGTAACAATAGATTGAAAACGTTCATACCACGCTCTGAGGGCTTGCTTCAGACCATAGAGAGCCAAACGCAAGTTACATGCAGAACCAGTAGGATGAGAAAGACCAGGAGGTGGACTTATATAAACCTCTTCATTGAGATTCCCATTCAAAAATGCATTTTTAAAATCAAGTTGAAATAGAGGCAATTGTTGAATTTCAACAACAGAAATCAGAGTATGACCAATAGNAGATGAGAAAGACCAGGAGGTGGACTTATATAAACCTCTTCATTGAGATTCCCATTCAAAAATGCATTTTTAAAATCACGTTGAAATAGAGGCAATTGTTGAATTTCAACAACAGAAATCAGAGTATGACCAATAGGAATTTTGGCAACAACAAAAGTTTCCTCATAGTGGATGTCATACTCTTGAAAAAACCCTTTAACAACTAACCAAACTTTATAACGCTCAAGAGAACCATCAGAATGAGTCTTAACCTTGTAAACCCATTTTCAACCAACAACATTTTTACCTGCAAGCAAAAGAACTAAATCCCAAGTGCGAGCCTTATCAAGAGCAACCAATTCATCGTACATTGCATTAATCCAATTAGGATCAGTACAAGCCTCTTTATAAGACCGAGGTTAAAAAAAATATGAATAGAAGTAAGATAGACACGATAAGAAGGAAAAAAACAAGTATCAGCAAAGCCAAGTCTCGCTGGCGGATTATGAGTGCGAATAGGATACTGTTGCTCAAGTTGAGCAGAGTCCACAAGTTCAAAGCTGGGCCACGTCAGAGCTGGTACAAACAAAATGTGGAAGAGGAAGTTTTTTTCAAGAATTTGATCAAAGGATAAAGAGAGAGAACAGAAGGATGAGAAGGAGAAGATAAAGAAGAAGCATAAACCGAAGAAGGAAGATCAAAAACATCAAGAAAGGGGATAAACTCATCACAAGACTCATCCAAGGGAAAAAGGTCAATACGCACAAGTTCATCCCTTGAAACATGAGCCATTTTAGAAGGAATCGTGACATGTGAAATGCGCTCAAGAAAAACATGCCGAAAGACATAACTTTTTAGACACAGGATCATAACATCGATATCTCTTCTGTTGAGACCATACCTAAGAAAATACATAAGACAGAACGAGAACTCAATTTATTTCGCTTGTGCTTAGGAAGAAGAACAAAACAAGTTAAACCAAAAACACAGAAGAAAAGAGTAATTAGGAATTTTCCCAAACAACTATTCATATAGAGATGCACCTAATAAAAGTGGGATGGACATACAATTTAATAAATAAAACGCAATAAAAATTGCTTCACCCCAAAAGACGGCAGGAACTTATGAAGAAAACAAAAGAGCATAGCAATTTCGGGGAAATGTCTATGCTTACGCTCAACAATACCAGTTTGTTCAGAAGTACCAGAGCAAGATGATTGATGCATAATGCCAGATGCATCTAGAAAGTTAGCGAAGTCTTTTGTATTGGTAGAAAACTATATGTGAATCATGGAACCAAATTTGAAGTAAATTTGAGAAAAATTAGATTTATGTGGTATCAAATATACCCTACAATAGTGACTATAATTATCAATAAAAGAAACATAATACTTAGAGCCACCTTTAGAGGAAATAGAAGGTCCCCTTACATCAGTGTAAACAAGAGAAAAAGTCATAGTAGAGAAAAAAACACTTTTATTAAAAGGTAAAGCAGAATCTTGGCAAGTATACATCCACTATAATCAAAGATGTCACTTGGAGATACATTGACCAAAATATTAGAGGAAATTAAACACTTTAAATCCTCACTGGGTAAATGACCAAACCTAGAATGTCATAAATGAAATTGGGAAGAATAATTTTGTAGACAAAAAAAAGACAATTTGGGAGAACAAGACTCCAAAGGAATATGTAAGTGTTCTAGAATGTATAAGTCACCAGCTCTACGTCCATTCTCAATCTACTTCTTGGACTTCCAATCTTGAACAACACAACTAGAAGAAGAAAACAAAAAATCAAAGCATGAATTAGAGAGTTTACTAATCGAAAATAAACTCATAGACAATTGTGGAACATAAAAAAGATTCGAGATAGAAAGAGAGAAAGACAAAGAGGGAAGAACATATCCAACAGAAACAACATGCATTGGAGAACCATAAGCGCACCTTCTTTCAAAGAGAAGAAGACAGGTTATTCACATTTCATTTGATGGTCAGAGGTAATATAATGTGAGCTGGAGAAGGTGATATACCTGAGATATGTGAACCAATCAAACTTGAATAAATGGTGGACATAGCAGAGGCATAAGAAGAATCAGTATTGGAAGTAGCAAGCATAGACTGTAGTTGCTCAATCATTGATTGACCAATACTAGGAGAAACAATGACGAGATTAGATGTAGAAGTTACCAATGTAGCAAGGGGCAAACAAAAGCCTAGGAGTAGGACCGCTAAGTAGAAGCACCCCCTTTCTGAAGTTTAAGACAAGAATATTTCTAGTGTCATTTTTGGTGACAAAAGTTGCATTCATCAATACCAATGCGTGATCTTGGTTTTCTAATAATCTATGTGAGATGAGCAGATGGAGAAGGCAACAACGGAGGTTGTATATGGAACTCAGAGCTTACTCTGATGTTGATTGGGTTGACTCTATGGATAGCAAGTCCACCATTGATTTTTGACTTTTTCTCGGGGATTCTCTTATTTCCTAGAAAAGCAAGAAACAAACTGTTGCTCGTTCTTCTAATGAAGCTGAGTATCATGTCATGGCATCCACCATAGCTAAGATAGTCAGGTTACGATAGATTCTTGCTGACCATGGCATTTCGATATCTTCTTGTACTCCTATGTTCTGCAATAGCACTAGTGCTATTCAAATTGCTTACAACTCGGTCTTTCATGAGCGTACAAAGCATNTCATAGCTAAGATAGTCAGGTTACGATAGATTCTTGCTGACCTTGGCATTTCGATATCTTCTTGTACTCCTATGTTCTGCAACAGCACTAGTGCTATTCAAATTGCTTACAACTCGGTCTTTCATGAGCGTACAAAGCATATTGAGATTGTCATTTTGTGCGTCATCATCTTCAATAGGGCACCATCACTCTCCCCTTTCTTCCTTCCACCATGCAGATAGCGGATTTCTTTACGAAATCTCACAATATAGCACGTTTCTGATTTCTGCTTGAAAAACTCTTGATATTTTTTGTCACATCATGAGTTTGAGGGGGGTATTAGCGTATTAATAATAAGGGTAGATTAGGAATTTACTTTATGTTGTGTTGCCCTACTATATAAGGTTTACTTTGTGTACTTCTAGGTTATTGAGAACTACGGACTTAACAAGTCTAATAATATTTTCTTTCATTCTTTTCTCTACTTTCTCTTTTCTTATATTTGTTGATCAACTTTAATATGTGACAAGTATTAATAATTGTCCGAACACCAGCTAACGACATTTGAGAGCCATTAGCGACAAGTACAGATACAGATGGAGGAGAAACAATAGATAGAAACAAATAAGAATTACTGATCACATGATGTGTAACACCTGATTTAAAAACCCAAGTAGTTTGAGAGATACTTGAAGAACCTGAATTGAACGTACCTATAGTGGAGGAAACTGTGAGAACACCAGGCTGATGGAGAGAGAGAAACTTCTACAGCTGATCTGTAAGAATAGT